CCTCACTGAGAAATGACAGGGCAAGCTATCAGAGGGAAAAGCATTCCAGGCAGAGGGAACAGCCATTGTAAATGTCATGAGGCAGAGTGTTCTTGGCATGTTCATGGAACTACGGCTGGAGTGGAGAGAGAAATAGGATGAGAAGTAGGAGATGAAGTCAAAGGGAGAAGGGGGCCATTTCCAGTAGGGCATTTGAGACCACAGTAAGAGCTTTAACTCTGCTCCGAGTGAGATGGGGGAGCTCCTGGAGGATTTTAGCAGAGCAATAGGTGATCTAACATTTTTTTTTTTTTTTAATCCTTCTGGTTGCTGTGCTGAGACTAGGGTGCGGGTGGGGAGTGGGCAATAGGAAAAGGAAGGAAACCAGTTAGGAGACTACCTAATAATCTAGAGGAGGGAACAGTAGCTTGGCCCGGGTGGAAATGGTGGAGGTGGTGAGATGAGGCCAGACTCTGGTTGCATTTTGAAGGTCACGTTGATAGGATTTGCTGTTGGGTGTGGGATATCAGAGAAAAAAAAATGGAGTCAAGGATCAATCCTAGGATTTTGGCCAAACCCACTGGAAGGCTGGAACTGCTGTTTACTGAGATGAAGAAGACACTGAAAGAAGCAGATTTGGCGTGGAATAGAGGAAGGCTGGCAGGAGTTCAATTTTGCATATGTCAAGTTGGAGATGCCTAGAAGACATTCAGGTGGAGTTCAGCGGAAAACTGGAGAGACGAGTCTAGAGGTCAGCGGCCCATGCTTGCAAGAACACTGAAAACAGATGTTGCCCTTTCTACAATTTTGAAGAATTCAAGGTCCTGCTTGCTAGGGCTTCACAATTCATCTAACTCTTTGCAATTCAACGTGTGGCTCCTGGACCAGCAGCACAATATCACCTGGGAGCTTGTTAGAAATGCAGACTCTCTGGCCTTCCTCAGACCTAGTCAGCATTTTCAGTTTAACAAGATCCCCAGGTGATTAAACATTAAAGTTTCAGAGGTACTCGTCTAATTAGAACCATCTGGGAAGTTGTTTAAAACTATAGGGCGCCCCCCCCCCACCCGGAACAATAAAGTACATTGTCTGGGAGTGGGTCCCGGGCATGAATATTTTTCCCAAGCCCCCAGTGGTTCTGATGTGCAGTCTGGGTTGGAACCACTGATCTAACTCTTCACTCCCGGCATGTTCCTTCTGTACTAGGTTTATATTGCTGGTGCTCTTGGAAACCCATCTCTGAAGAGATGTGCAGATCTAAGATAGCATGAAGGTGTGCAACTAGAGTGACCAAATGTCCTGGATTATTGGAAACAGTCTCACTCACATAATTATTATTAGTGCCCCCTTCACACTCAAAAGTATCCTGGTTTAGATGATAAATTATATGCTCTCCCTATATAAACAAAATGTCACTGTGCTTTATATTTCTGGACTATAAAGTCGTACTAAGAGCAGGTAGAGCAAAATGACAGATGGCCTTTGGTTTGACAGAGGAATCAAATATAGAGGGACTCCTGGTGCTTAGATGTTAGTCCTGAGAGTCTTCTGGGCACAGCTTATCAGAAATACACCCATCAATTCCCTCGATTGTAAGGATCAGGGAGAATGGGTCTCCTTCCAGGGTTGGGATGGGATGGGGTACAAGCATATCTTGCAGTTAAAGTACCAGGGCCAGCTGTTCGTTAGCCAGAAGCTGATTATCATCAGTCTGTGATTATCCCAGCCCTTAGCAAAACTTCTCCTTTCTTTTCCTTCTGGATCAGTTATTGTTCATCATCACCCTCAGGCTCAAAGGGACAAGGAAAGAAGGTGAATAAAACATTAATTCAGCAGCCCTGCTAATAAACTTGGTGGGAAAGAAGATGCAAACAATTGAACTGTTTCTGGTTACCTGTGAATTTAAATCCTGTTGGCTCTTCCCTTTCTGCAAATTACTACCAGCTGGTTTGAGGGCTTGTTGAAGGCCTACTGATTGCCAGTAAAATTAAAGTAACCTTGTATTTTTAAAACTATGTAATCTTCCAGAAATAGGCCTTGGAAGCTTTCCCTCCTGATTTACCAAGAACACAGAGTGAGGGCAAGGCAAGCACCTTCTCATCTTATCTGAGCCTTCTTCACCTTCTTCTTCCCCTCACCACCAATCCCTAGGTGCATACAGATAGTATTTTCCCAAAAATATTTTTGGATGTCAGAAGAAATTATTTTACGTCAACTTAAAACAAATAGTATAATCACTGTTATACAAACAGACCTAAATGGAAAAATCTATAAGCGGAGTAGAGACTTGTGTGCATATAGTTTGTATCACAAGTTTTCCTAATTGCATCACTGGGACAGTTATGAATGCTTCCACGAGGCAACCACAGCATAAATGTTTAAAACATGTTCTGTTCACATGTGTTTAAAGTGTCTGAAAAAGAAACTATCCATGTGTAAAGGCCAACAGCCAGATGCTGATAAGCTAGTTGAAGGGAACGCTCTAGTTCTCTGGTTAAGTAACTGGAACGTAGATGGGTATTGAGTTAGGGTGGGTAAAACATTAAAAAATACCTGTTGAATTGGCATAAGATTATCAGCGGGATCTCTGCAGATTAGAGAGGTACTTTAATGGGTGTCTGCGTGTGTGGGGGGTCGGGGGTGGGTTAGTATTTGTTCTCTGCTTTCGGGCTGCAAATCACAAGAAGCTAAAAAGGCAGAAGCATTCTCCCTGCTGCTGAGAAAGCAGCAACACAAGCTGATGTGTCCCTGCCAGGCCCTGGATCAGTACGAACACTAGCAGCTCGAGGGGAATGCCTTATCTTTGATCTCTGTTAACAGTTAACCAAAGGTTTTTCCTTCCAGAGCTCTTTGAAGGCAGAAGCAGGTGGCCCTGGATAGCAATGCTGTAAGGAGGCCCCAAACGGTCAAACGTAAGGGCCTAGGTATAGTTCAGGTAGGCCTACTGGGAGAATCTTCTTCCCTTTCCTTAGGGGTTTAGATGTCTTAAAATCTTACTCTGTATCTTGACTTAAATATCGTATGCAATATAGCTTAAGTTGGTGAGGCAATGACATATGGTATTATAATAAGGAGTTCTATTTTAATATAAAATGTTTAGCTAGAGCATGTGCTAAATACTCTGAGGGCTCCCTAGCCAGGTCTGGGAAAACCGTCACTTACTGTTAGAAAGGGAGGGAATTGTAATCAGAAGAGCCCTATCAATGAAGGCATTCCCCAACCATTCAAAATGGCCAACTCTTTAAACCAACAGGATGGAAAATACACAGTAATGGCGACTAAAACAAGCGTTATTTACGTTTCCTTTACCCACGGATTAAAGTATATACTGACCACACAACCCTCAAGTAGCAGGCCTGGGGAGGATTTCAGCTTCAAAGGAAGCCTTAACAAAAAAGTGGCCCCACTTGGCTTTTGGAGACCACCTCAGAGATAGACTCATATGAGCACAGGCTTGTTTTCACACACGTCTAATGGCCCAGATGTCATACTTCGTCAGTCAGTGTGGAAGGTAAATAAAAATAAGCAAATATCATAACCACTTACCCCGTGCAAATAGGGAAAAAAATGTTGAGAAAAAATAGCCTCGAGTCAGAGTGAGTCAGAGCTGGTGAGGCCAGGAATATCATTCCTCACCCCGTGCGTAGCTCTGGATTTGCAGGCCCTTGCTTTAGTCTCGATTCCCAGCATGAGATGTAGGAGAGTTTTATATGGAAAGAGACGGCTAGCCTCCAATTCTTGCATGATTTGGTACTATCTTGGGTGAAATGTACTCACTAAAGAATTATGTTGGCTGAGCGTGGCCCATCCCTGCATGGAAAGCCTGTGATCTTGAGGAGGAAGGGCCAAGGACTTGATGGTGGCCTCGTGCTCTGCTCCTTCATGCTCTTGGTGACCCTGACGGCAGCTCTCGGCCTCCCAGGCCTCTAGTTTCCCATCTGGGATGATTTTAATCCAGACAGATCTTCTGGTGAAGGGTCAGGTGTAAGGATCTATGGCACCATTTTTATCAAGTTCTTTGAGACTCTCCAAAGAAAAATACTATGAAAAAAAAATCAAAACACTAAACTACTGACAAAGTAAACCCTCTCTGATATCTTATTCTATCCAGGGCACAGCTATGGCAAATTATAACAGAAATTCTGAGTAACTCTAAAATGAGAAGCAGTGAGTGTTTCTTTTGAAGTGAAGCACTGCAGACAGAACCAGTGCTTTCATCTCAAGGAATCATCTCATCAAAGACCCTGCTTCAAAACCCAGGTTGAAGGAAAGACCAAGGGGGCAGGGGCAGCCAGCACTGTAGCTGGAAGTACCCAACTTGCATTGGGTCCTTTCTGGTATTAATTAATATTGCCTGGAGCTTTAATGAATATGGGAGTGGGGAGGCTTATGCTTGTGCTAGTTATTATTTTTCTAAGTGACTTCTTAATTAGCTCTATTGTTGACAACAAGAGGGGGCTTTGCCAAACACAGGCTAGCCTAGCCTTGTCGGTGGCCTCCCTTAATTTAAAATTAGGGCCTCTCCTCTCACAGTGGGCGCTACGGCAATCCCAGAGAGGAAGCCCAGAGTAGCATCTATTTGGCACTTCAAGGTCATGGTCTGACCCAGTTTTCCAAACACCTGGGGATTCACCAATTACATGAGCATAGTCAAGGCTCTGAGAATTTTGACCAGTTTGACTTGAACTCAAAATTACCTTAACTTATCTATACAAGGTGTCCTTTCTTGATGTCACCACAATTAAGAAACTGTAGAACAGTCAAGAGAGGCAAGTCCTTCAGAAAATGCTGGTCTAAACTCATCATAGATGCTAGAGAGCAATTTTCCTGTTTCAAACACTGCAAAGAATGAATTCAATTTGCCTGGAGTCACTCCAAACTTATCCTTCAGCTGGAGCTATCAATATGGAATTTATTTTCCAGAAAGTAAAATCACCCCCACTAAAAGCCCAGAGGGGCTCCCTGTATTTGCCAGGAGCAATGAGACACACAGTGCTGGGAGCACAGCTCTGCTTTGGTACCTGGGGCTCCTGGTCATGACCGCTGGGATCCCTCTCGTAGCTCTCTGCATACAGTCTGATGGTGGCCCGCACACCACTGGAGGAACTGAGCCGGAAGATGAGCCGTGACGCATCTGAGAAAATGATCCTCAGGCCCTGAGACCAAGAACATCCAGAATGGATCAGTGAAAAAATGAATACACAGGTAAAAACAATTAATAGCTACTTTGGAGATCAGCATATTTCTATGATCTAAAGACACTTGGGGTCATGACAACTTGTAATTGGCTCTTGACACTCACCGAAGCACAACAGTGAGGTGAACCCAGAAGCTACTTAAAGTTATCCATTTGTCTCTTTATTCTATTTCTGTTGCCTTGTGGTTAATGCTGGGATGGGGTGAGGAGCAAAACTATGAACAGATGCTCAAGTTCCCTTGGTCTGGTGATGCGGAAACGAGAAAGAGGCAGAATAACAAGGATAAGATGACATTTAATAAATGTCCCTGGGACAAAATTATTCCCTTATAAACCTGCTGGATGCAACGGGGGTAGGGAATTTATTACAGCAAGACAAATTACCCGTATTAAGGTTATCCCCATGTGATGTTAAGCTTTGCTTTAAGTTCATCTTCTCTTCATTTCTTTCCTCGTTCCCACATTCCTCTGGTAGCAACTGAACCCTACAATGAAATGCTCAGGGCTGGATCCTCAGCTGGGTTCTGAGGGTTCCTGTGTACATCCTCACCCTCTTGGCTCTCTCCTTCCTTCTTACTCGTAAGACCTGGCCACCAGGGCGGGGTGGGGGCAGAGCTGTGGCAGCATCTCAGTGCTGCCCAGTATTAATTTGTCTTTTAGCTCAGAACATCTCCATTCTCTATGCATCTCTTCTCATTAGTGGCAGGGATATTTGAAAAATATGACCATAAGACTATATTGTAACTTTTGTTGAAGAAAATTTGTTTTCTTAAGACAACTGATAAAGTCATTGTGATAAATAAGAATATTGGCAGGGGCCAGAGGAAAGAAAGGAGGGAACAAAATAATATATCTGGTCATTCATTATTTCTGAAAGAGCCAAAGTCTCAGGCAACTTTGATATCAGACATTCTCCCTAAGAAATTTACCCTTGAAACTTTTCTGGCCTTAAATCTTGGTTGTTAAGAATAAGCCGTTATTAAAATATCATACCTGTCTTATAAATCTGACTGCCAATCCCTTATCCCACCCTGATCTGCTGGGGGGCACTATGATTCCATCTGAATGGTTTTTTGCTTTTTAAGTTTTGTAGAAGTATTTTGTTCCAATCCCAAAACAAAAACTCTTAGTCTCTTTTGTAGTGGTTCAATGTCTGCCACAATTTGCGTAACAAAAAAAGAGCCATCTCCCTTCCTGGCAACCCATCACTCTATGATACTAGCTTTGCAAACAGGATGATGTGATCCAGGATTCATTCACTGGGCAAACATTTTAGAATAGCCCTTATGGATCAGGCACTGGGCTGAGCCCTGGGTATATGAAGATCAAGACACAGGACTTGCTCTCCATAAGCCCAGAGCAGTCATTGTAATTGCATTACAATGAACAGAAACCATTTTCTTAACCACCTTATGCTACTAGAGAAGTGCGCAGTTATAAAACTCCAAATGGAGTAAACGAAGCAATTCTCTACTATCCGAAAAGTATGGTATACCAAATTATGTTCAAACTGACAATGAGGCCCCAAAGTTTCCACAACTGCATTCACAGTCATGGTTTACAAACCCTTTTGAAGCTGTCATTTCTGTTTAAGCCTACCTGTACATTGTCACTATATGTGGAACACAGGAATATGTAATTCATTGCTCAGGACTATGGGTTATCCATAAATTGGTGAAAGCAATAGCTAGGGCTGAAACCCTCAACCATCTATTATTGCAGATTCCAAAGTACTTGAGGCCACCTCTTCTGATGACCTCCCAGAGTCAACCCTTTAAGGTAGCTCCCATTACACAATTAATGTAATTAATTAATTAATAATCCCAGATTAATTTCTGGCCAGTGGGAGGTATTTAAGAATTCAGGCCATAACAAACCATCAACACGTATTATCAGCTCATAATTAAGCTGTTTGCAGTGAAATTATGGTATTTATTTTCCCGAGGGTAGCCATATCTTTGTACTCATAGAAGATTGGTTAGAATGTACATCTGGTAGCCTGGAACAGATTTTGTACTTGAAAGGATGATAAAGGAGTGCATAGCACACACCAGGCTGTTGGAAATAGTCCAACTTCTCTCTTTCCTAAGGAACCAACCATGAGATCTTAATAGAGAATCCGTGTTACTTTGTGAGACCTCCAGGTGGGAACACAATTCTCCTTCTCCACATGGAACAAAAATTTTTAGACCCAGCCTCGTTCTGTGCTGCAACAACCCTAGTGCCATGTCTGTTGAATGTCACTTTCATGTGTGAATAGTTGTAGTGGATTGCTTTGGAGTCTGAATGTTCCTCCAATGAACTTAATGAATTTTCAACCTGAACATGAGCCATGTTCTCTCCAGCATGTATCATCACCTACTATCAATTAAATTATGAGGTCAAAGTTACCACTGACCAAGGTTTGCCAAGTTTCTAAATGTTCTGTAATTCCAATAAAAGAATACCAATAATATACTTTGCTTTTCTTATTTTTTAGGTTAAATCAGGGGTTGGCAATACAGTTTGTCCACCAAATTTGACCTGCCACCTGTTTTTATAAATCAGGTTTTATTGAAACGTAGCCATGCCCGTTCACTTACGTATCGTCTATGGCTGCTTTTGTGCTACAGTTGCAGAGCTGAATAGTTATGGCAGAGACCGTCTGGCCCACAAGGGCTAAAATATTTACTATCTGGCCCTTGACAGAAAATGTTTGCTGACCCCTGGTATAAACCATTACATTATCTACAACATGGAATACTTACCCTTCAACTCTACCCCAGAAAATAGAAAATATAATCATCTGCCTTATCAAAATTCCAGTAGAGAGAAATTATGAAGACTGGTCCAAGGGTGTCCAATCCATCCATTCCCCAGGTATTCCAGCATCTAGCCATAGATTCATCGGGACATATATTTGGCCCAAATCAACTTACTTCTGACCACCTACTCATGACAGAAATGGATTTATTAAATTATATTTTAGTTTTATATCCTCACTTTTATTGCAGGGTCTACAAGGCATTATCTTATAAAATCCATTTTTGCAGTCAATATAGGAATATTGTTGGAGAGTGTATGAAGCTCCACATGAGATATTTCCTCAAAAGCCAAGTGTTAGGAAAGCCCTTCCTTCCCTGAGGACCTGGTATTCTTTTGTCTTTCTGACAATTAGAACTTTCTAACTAACCATAGTTCTCTTTTCAATATGGCTGCCAGGACACTTAATGCCAGATTTGAGGTTCAGCCCAAGTGGATCTTTACACAATGCATAACAATGAGTTTTCTTCTTCTGTTCTTGACTTTCTACTCTTATTTATATTTTCCCTACTCTTGATTTCTGTTTCTTATTTACATTCTAACAATTTCATTATGTGTGTCTTTGCTGCCACAAATCCTCTTGAAGAAACAAGGCCCAGTGTAAATGAATAAAATAAGTTTTCCAATAAAAGAGGCATCTTTTATTTTTTTTATTTTTTTATTTTTTATTTATTGTTAAGGCATCACAGCCTTAACCCTGAAGTATTGGAATTGCTGAATTATGCCTTTGGGTCCTTCATTAGCTGATAAGCTCTGGGAGGGCAAAGCCTTATGTTCCCTATTCACCATTTATCCACATAGCCCAGGACAACACTAGGTAGGCCCTCTGTAATGTTGAATGAATGTCACCATGTGATCAAAAACTGGAGTGAGCGCCACTGGAAAGCCTCCCTCCACATTTAAGGAGGACTCACAGGGCAAATGAAAACATACTCATATTCTCCATTGGTGAATTGGGGCTAATGATTTACCTTGAAGGGTAGTTGTGAAAGATACTATATCTACTCATCCTTCATTGTTAGGGCAACGGTCAGTTTTGGCTAAAAACAATAGAGTTGAACAATGATAAGTCCCCAGTTGTGTCATCTTAGACAAATCATAAGCCCATTAATTGCAAACTTTGCCACATATTGGAATCAGCTGGGAGATCTTTAAAAAATATTGATACCTAGCCCTTACCCCAGACATTGTGATGTAATTTATATGGGGTGTGACCTGGGCTTCGAGATTCTAAAAACTCTCCAGGTGATTCTAATGTGTAGCCAAGTGTGGACACCACTGTAGCAGCCTCTTTTCTCTGGGTCACCTGCCTTGTGTATCAAGTGACTGACTATACTACACGTCAGTCTCAAGAAAGATCCCTTTAAGATCTAAGGTTTCATGCATACACTACCATCGGACTGGGATCTTAGGAGGGCCATAACACAGGTGGGCTAATTCAACAGCATCTTGCTGCTGAGTCCTGAGAGCCTCCTCCTCGTGCCTTGTCAACAGCAGAACCATTAGAAGTACGTCCTTTTGAACCATCTGACACTAACTGTTTTTAGCACAATCTCCTAAGGAATTCCTGAAGCAACAGTGAAGGACTCCACGATATGTCCATAGCCACAGCAGTGACAGTAGCCAGTATGTCTAGGACGACACAACAGACACAAGCTCAAAGAAGGAAGAAGACGCCCTCTTCCATTAGAAGGTAGTTATTAATTACGGGGTGGGGATATCGAAAGGGCACTTCAGTTCCAGCCTAGCATTTTTCTTCCCTTTGAGAGCCTGTAGTTACATGCATCGGTGACACGGCTAGGGTTTTGCCCTCGTTTGCTTTGTCCCAGTGAAGGATTGTTAAAGGTATCTCCACTGCAGGTATCTCCACACTAAAATCCCCAATCTGTTTCCAGTTCTCACGTAGCATTTCTCTTTCTCCCCAGATTTGCCCCTTCTTTGGTTTGCTGTCCATGGAGAGTCCTTTTGGAAATGATACAGGAACAACAACTGGAGAACGCAGGCTAGAATTCTGGCTTGGCCGCTTACGAGCTGGTGGTCTTGAGTAAGTCACTTAAGCTCTCTAAGCTTTAGTTTCCTAAGAAGTGGATGAAAAATGATACAGCCTGGCTTACTGGGTTTTTGTGAGCATCAGATCAGAGAATATATGTGCAAAGT